CCCCATCCGTGTAATTTATTTTTAAACTTTTAGTTTAAAATTTATAAAAGCTAAACAGCCTGTAGTATTTTTACAGTCTTTATTTTACAGTTAAAATCTATGTTTATTAAATAAAGTCTAATGTTACAACTAATCATGGATCCCTTTAAAACACCGTTTCTGTGCAGGAAATACTACGTAGAGCTCAGTTACTGTTTGTTAGCGGTGCTCAGAAATATGAGACGAGGAACGTAACAGAGTTTGACACCTACTCTGAAACATAAATGCAAATGTCCACCACATACATTTCAGACTTTATAAGGCTGCTTTTTTTTTTATTTATAAATTTTATTTTAAGTTTTCAAAGTTTAGAACATACAATTAAACAGACAAAACAAATATAAGGCTGCTTTTGACTTGGCACTTTTGTAAAGTGTCCAGAACTATCATCAGATGAGAAAATGTGCCAACACAGCAGCAGATCTGCCAGTGAGCTTGAGTCAGTGCAAGCAACAAGTTTATTGTTTTGTTTCCCTGTATGACGCTTTCCCCTTGATCACGTCTTGTTATCATTTGTACGTGCAAATATATTCTATGCTGATGTCAGTGCAACAAGCAGCCTCAAACGTTTTCAAAATTTTAGAAACTCACTAATAGCCAAGTGTCTCACCTCGTTGTCCGACTCCACCAGAACCTGGTCGTACTCGCTGAGCGCCACCAGGAACATGATGGAAGTGACGTTCTCAAAGCAGTGGATCCACTTCCTCCTCTCAGACCTCTGACCCCCAACATCCACCATCCTGATTGAAACAGAATGGAATAAACACGAGTCAGACGGGATAAAACAGAAACAAACGTAATCCTGACTTCTAATTTCCTATTAATTATTAATGTTTATTTTAGCTGTTCTGCAGAAAAATAGAAAATGAGAACAGACTTCAAATTGGAAGTTTTATAAGAGACATTATATTGTAATGATTCAGCAAAAATATGATTAATTTTATCTTCAGAACATTTCCGTGGCCTTTGTGTTGTTTTTTTTCAAACATACTATCTGACAATCATTACAATACATCTCTTACAATAAACTTTAAAATTAATCTTGTAAAACATTCTGTATAAAACTTCATTTTACGCTAAATAGAGAAAGGAAACTGGAAAGAGAGTTCAGTGTAAATTACAGTGTGAGGACAGAGCAAACCTCCCTCAGGTGAAACTAAACAACTACCAGCAAGTGTTTACGAGCACACAACTGCCTCCCGAAGACAAACAGCTCATGCAGCAGATACAGTATGAAGTGCAACAAAAGAATAGCTTTTCTTCAGATATTCTCATAAGGTGTTACTGTGAACGCAAGCATTATCCAGAGAAGCAACAAAGAAGCCGGAGGAGAATAAGGAGGAAAACAAATCAAGATTTTTAACAGAGAACACAACAAAAAAATATATATAAATAAATAATGTGGGGAATAGAAAAACATGAAAAGAACAACAAGGCATATTGTGGGTTCTGATTAGGAGGAAGAATTGCTTGATTGTATTTTTTTATTGACTGTATTTTTCTCCTACAAACAGTTTTTGTTTAATCTTTTGTTGGGATGAAAGCATAAAAAACCAATAAAACTAAACAATTTTGATAAAAAAAAATAAAGATGGAAAGGGGCACTTTGAAGTTAACAAGAAATCAACAAATTACTTTCAGTTCTCATCAAATAAATTACTTTGTGCTTCTACATTAATGCAATTAATAGTTTGACAGCTTCGCAATAAAAAAACTGATGAACTCACTGAACTTCTGCCAGAAGAAATGGCATTGATAAACACAGATTCTCATAAAAAAGCCTGAAATTAAAAAATCTTCACATCGTTTTAATGCTTTCTCTTTTCTCACCTCTAGCAGCAATCAATGACCTGCTTTGCTTTATAAGTTGTCTTGTGTTAGACAAACCAAATTAAATTGCATTTTCTTTGACCTCTGAAGCGTTTTAAGAGGAAAAGCTAAAGAAAAGGTTTGACAAAGAAAGGCCTCCTTGTTGAAATAACCGTAGCTAAATGCTAGCAGACACTCGTTTCACACGTGGAGCGTTTTTCACCTCATTACGCATCGAGTCTGCTACATTTTTAATGTGACAACACGTTTTCATTCATCACCAAACGGAGAGCCTAATTCTTTTCTACTAAGACACGCCTCGCGCCGACTGCCAACTCCATTTAAACCCTTCCAGCATCGCTGCAGTAAACCGACGTCACCGAGAGTATTCGCCGATTCACGTTCAGGAGTGGAGCTGAGCAGAGTTGAGCCGTTCTGCGAGCGGTAGTGAGGTTGTTGGGAACCTCTTTAACACAGGCACACTGGGAGAGGAGAGTTATTTCCAGCTTTGCCAAGCGTAGGAGGGAGATGACACGATAGTTTCCTTTCGATTTGCACTTTTCTATAATCACTCTTCGTTCCTGGTCCATCTCTATCTCCTCATCATTTTTTTTATTTCAAGAGGAAGAGAAAGGGAAGCTGCTGGCTGGTCCAAAGGCAGCATCTGTGCCACATTCTGTCCTCTGTGTCTCGGCATTACACAAGCAGGAAGGATTATGGTGTAAATGTATTTTTGAATAAAAGTCTGTCATATAGCCTAGATTTATTGATCTACCCTTTTCCCCTCCAGACTTTTATTTAATAGTAATTAATTTAACAGCAGCTGGATGAAAACACACCTATCAATGATGGCAACAATTGTTCTGTAGCAACGAAATATTCAAATGGTTTGAATGCATACCACAGAGTCGAATCAGTGAAATAAGCTGACTTTTCTCACATTTTCTACCATYACTATTTATAGAACACAGCCCGTTAATTACTGCCCTTATAGATCAATTAGGTCTGCCTTCAAATTATTACAGTAAAAAATTTATAAAATATAAATTGTTTATATAAGCCAGAAAATTGTCTCGCAAAACAGCTGGGTCGGTTTTTAAAAAATAAGAAAGCGGCTTTGTCACATTCAGATGGTCAAGAAAAAATCCGATGTAGGTCACATGGGGGGACAGAAATCGGATTTGCCTGCAGTGTGAATGTAGCCTCAGATGCCACGTTTTTATCCGAAAACAAATAAAGCAAATCTAATTGTCTTTTGGAATAGGGTTGACATATTTTAGCAGATGATGATTACCGTTTTCAAGGTAGCAATAGTCTAAGATGGAGCAGTGTACGGTGTAGAAAACCAAAGCACATGCACTGCAGATGTTGAGGACATGACTGATTAATCTGGCTGAATTATAAACCAATAATGCAGGTGTTTTACACTCATCTTTTTGACAGAGTAGAAGCTCTGTTTCAGTGATAACGATGCTACTTTGACTATCATTAAACCCAGAACAGAAACATTTAATAATCGCCTAAGAAAATAATTCCAGGTTTATCAACTCATCTACTCAAGTAATTTAAATGCTCCAATTTCAGTAATGCACTGTGATAATCTTCCAAATAGTATAAGGCGGGTTTAGTAAGGGAATATGTTTATGTGCAAAATGAGAACATCAGGCGTGTTATTAAGCAACAAAGAGGGAGTATAGTAAAAACTGGGGGACAAACAGTGAAATACGTCGTCTTCTACCTGAAAATGATGCTTTGCAAGTCGAAAGGGTACTCTATGATCCCAGTGGTTGGGATTCGAACCCTAAGAACGTCCTGTTGGGTGGGTAGATAGGACGGTTCAGCAATACGATCCAGATCACTTAAATAGCTAGAGACAGGAAGAAAACAGAAAACAGAAAAAACAGAGGGGGGAAGGAAATAGAAAGTGAAGCATAACAGCAGACAAAGCTCAACCCCTGCATCAGTTCAGATGTAACCACAGAGAACCATTCCCAAGAGTTAGAGTGAGGTTTACATTCCACTTCCTCCTTAAATGTTCTCAGAGAAACAGTTCTTTCCTTGATGGCAGCTCCCAAAGACAAAAACTCTGCACGTTTATCAGCCAGGTCCAGCAAAGTACTAAATGTTTTTGACTTTTAGAAAGGTGCTTAGCATCTCCCCGACTTTCAGCCAATTTCAGTATAAAGCTCAGGGTCCGATCTTGACGTCTTTGAGAGCATACCATCAGGAACCTGTTGAAGTGCTGAGCCTGCTGTGCAGCACAGGGCAGATGGTTTCCAGCTGGCTGACCAACCGTTTTACAGCTGGCCAACCACTGACATCAGCGGCAGCACTTGGAACCAGTACCTGAAGAGAACAGTCTCCAGGTCAAACGGGTACTCTATGATGCCGGTGGTAGGCACTCGAACACGCAGGACATCCTGCTGAGTGGGCATGTACCCTGGTGTTCCTATTCGTTCTAAACTGTTAAGATAACTGCGAGGGAGGGAGGGAACACATGACTTAGATACATATGTACACACACCAACGCATCTCAACATTACAGCAAAATGAGAACACAGTAGAGACAAGCCACTGCTTCTTGTCAAAACAGAGAAAAATGTAATTGTTTAAAGGCATTTCAGACTACTCAAACATACTGGTCTTAAAATGTTACTTCTGTTCTGATACAAGATTTGACAAATGAAAATATCTAGTTATTTTTCACTTAAACACATCACCATTTTGTTACAGATGCATCACATTTAGGGGATGATGATGAATTACAGTTGAGGCTAAAACACGGAGTCAAAGACTAAAAARCTATAATGTGTGACAATAAATGTATATTTTGTATTAGTTTCTATGTTCTGCACAATAAACGGTTTAAAACGATCAAAAGTGACAGAGCTGTTTAGTAAATTAGGTCTGAAGCTGTCATCATATACACAGTATATAAACTACAATATATGTGGTGTTAGCTCCTAAGCTAATATTACACACACACACACACACACACACACACACACACACACACACACA